TGGCAAACTGCAGTGTTACCAGCCCTCGGGATTTGTTTAAGGATGCTTTCAACTTGCCTGATGTTGCAGTTCTCACCTTGGCTAGTGGCTGGACCCCTGGTTGATGGGAATGATGGACCACTGCTCAGTCTGCCACCAGGTTAAACACCCTCGTTTTTGTTGCCAGTGTCACCAGAGTGAGTCACAAATTCATATCTTAAAATACAGAAGATTAACTAACTATTAAGAGTTTGGCAATTGCATACTTTGAACAAAAGTTGGTTACTGGAATATCATGTCTGGCTGTTAATTAGTTATTGCCTTGGAGGCAAGCTCATTTACTGAAATATGAGTTTCCCAGGCCTCTGAAGTGTATTTTTGCTTCCACATGTTACATGAGGAAATGATGCCTCAAGCTGTGAAGAGCAACAGAAAATCATTATTTAAGAGAAATCTAGTCTAGTCTGTGCAATGAGCAGGACTGTGAGGGGTGGACGTTCAATGTCTTGCAAATGAAGATTAGGTGAAGGTAAATTTTTGGGAAGCATATAAAAAACTTCAGTTGACAATATTATTCCTCGGGGATGTTGCTTTTACCAGCACTTTGGTTCTTTTAAGTGTCCTTTATTTGCTATGTTCTCTGAAAATCAGCAGTACAAGAAAAAAAATTTCTTTACAAATTCTTTCAATTAAAAATATTATAAAATAGCTGCAGCAATCAGTGGATGGGGAATAGGTTTTAGAAGGAATAAGCTGATAATTTCACTGAATTTCACTGAATTTCTAGAGTTGGAAGGGACCATAGAGATCATCTAGTCCAACTCCCCTGCTGAAGCAGGATTGCCTAGAGCTAGAGCATGTTACTCAGGACTGCATCCAGGCGGGTTTTGAAAATCTCCAAAGAAGGGGACTCCACACCCTCCCTGGGCAGCCTGTTCCAGGGCTCTGTCACCCTCACCGTGAAGAAGTTTCTCCTCGTATTTGAGTGGAACCTCTTATGTTCCAACTTGTGCCCGTTGCCCCTCGTCCTCTCGGTGGGAACCACTGAAAAGAGTCTGGTTCCCTCCTCCTTCAACCCTCCCTTGAGATACTTGTAGGCGTTGATAAGGTCTAACAGCAGGGTAATTGACTTATCGTGTCTTTCCTAGAGTTATCTAAAATATGTTGCAAATCATATTGTAAAGTTATATATGTATGTAAATAAATCACAGATGTACGCTCCTTAGATTTTAGTCAATCATTGATGAACTACCACCTAATGGGACTCATAATATAGATCTAAAGTTTTAAATTAGGTAATGCCATGAATATATGCAATTAAAATCTAAGAAGTTGAATTTAATTTAAATTTTTATGCTTCCTTATATGATGCTGGAGAGGTGATTTAAAGATGTAAACGTTGATTTCACACCAAAAGTTGTCATAGATAATAGAGTGATATTATGTGAAAAAGACTGTGTTAATTTTTAGTAGTTGACACTGAAGGTATTTTGGAAGCTAGAAATTTTTTGTGAATATAGTTTCGATATCCCAGACGGAAAAATTGGTTTCCTTCCCAAAAGTTGGGAAGGAAAAATGCCTTACAATCCAGTTAAAATTAACAGAAGACTGTGTTGTTCTTGTATGGTGGTGAAAATCAGGTCTAATGCACCCACAGAGGGGCCACAGAAGACATGTTGTTTCCAGAAGTACATGTTAATGTAGTTTAACCTTTGTGCTTCTGGAAGCTGAGCATAGAAAAAGTTTCATTTTTTTCCTACGTGCTTGGCACTAATTGCTCACTCCACTGATCCTCAGAGGCAAGAATGTACATTTATTGAGGTGAAAAGCAACAGCAAAAGACAAATTGCCTGTCAGGTTGGTTGAACTTGTTGAATGCACTGGGAGATTTAGGAACCATGCACAAAATCACCTTTGCTAGTCACAGGGAGAGTTAAATCTGGAAAAGGGGATGATTTGAGGATGGTGCACACTTTTCCACACCTCCAATACTATCACTTTGCCGTTGTGGTGAGGGGACCAAGGCAGCTTTATTGTGAGCTATGTTTTCATACAGAGCCTTTAGGACAAAAAAAAAAAAAAAGAGGAAAGAATTAGTTCCTCGTGATCCAGTCCAAGCATGGATAATGCTGGCTTTTCTCTTACACCAAAAGAGGAGGAGTTCTGAGGAAATGGGGGAAGAACAAGCAGTTGCCCAACCAGGAGCACAGTGTGCTCCATTCACTGGGCCTACATTCAATAGGGCTACAGATATTTTTGAACCCTAATTACAGTTTTAAATTAATAGAAGGCATACATAAGAAGACTACTATTAAATACAAACATACAGGCAATAAATTGAGCAGAAAAGGGAAATACAACAGCTCTATGTGACTCCATGCTTAAATCAGACTATTGAAAACCATGTTTTATAAAACAATGTTGAGTCCTCAGGACAAAACATGTCTTGAAAACTGAAAAATGGTTTTCTTATTTAAGAACGCAAATGACACTTTGAAAAACTGTCCCTTTCCTAAATGTCTGGTATTTTTAACTTGATTTCAAGACAGCTTTTCGTTGCTAATGTCATGGATTACCACAAATGTTTCAGTCAGTAACCCAATTTGAAATCATCTCACACCTAAAAGAAAAAACAGTAATTTACCTTTGTTTTAAAAATTTCTTTGGTTAACTCTTGCCTATTCATTCAAAAGTAGAGTATTGCCTATGAACTTGGCTGTCTTGGCTACCTAGATAAAAGACTGAAGCTTGATTGCCTAGACTATAATTCCTCCTCACCCAAAAACATGTAACTACAGAAGGGTTAAATGAAATTCTTTGCTGTAGAGTGAAGATGTAAAAAATGTAACTAAAAATAAACCCTGTTTCAGCTTGTGAGGACAGGAGGAGCAGAAGAGAGGGTTAGTCAATCCAAAAATAGTCGTCTTATATCTACAAATTCACAGAAAAGGCATATTTCATTTTACATGAAAATAAGGTTTTTCAAAGCAAAAAGCTGGCAGAGTTATCCATAACAGCAGCAATTTTTCTCCAACATATTTCACTGTCAGAGGATTGTACGAACAGCAAAAAGCTGCTTTTCAATGTACAGATATTTTTAAAATATCCACAGGAGATGCTTTTCCTAGAATATTATTGATGGTCTGTTTTCTGATGGCATTTGTATTGCAGATAACCTCTTGCTGTCCCAGGGAGATTACACCTGAGTGGTGTTACCTTTCAGAATTGGGAGCCTGTTTATACCAGCAGAGTATCTGGGTACAAAAAAAAAAATTAATTTGCCACATTTTTCTCTGCAAGGCTTTCGCTGTTCTCCCTTCTGTAGGATGTTTCTGCTGTTGCTGCGCAGTGACACATTAGGCTGGGCATGTAGAGTAATGCAGTGTGACTGATACAAGCTGATGTTACACTTCACAGCACAATGCTTCATAATGTGTTATGTCAATGAGAGCGTTTAATAAAAAAAAAAAAAAAAAGTAATTCTCCAGAAAGAACTCATAAAAGAATCTAAGAATAACCTTCCTTCTCCCCTCCTCCTGTCTCCCATAAAAGAAAAAAAAAAAACAACACTGAGAGCAGAAAGCAATTTGTGTTTGACACACAAAAATAACTTTTGGAGGATTCATAGCAGTAGGTCGTTGTGTAACATACTTTTAGCTGCATTAAGCAGGGAAAATATTGCTCTCCATAATCAACTTATTTGAATTTATAAACTTTCATTTATAAAACTACTTCCCTGGGGAGTCTTTTCCATGGCTTGACAATACTTTGCGTGAATAAATTTTTCCCAATATCCATCCTCAACCTCCCCCAGTGCAGCTTGAGGCCATTTCCTCTTGTCCTGTTGCCTCTCCCTTGGGAGAAGAGACCCCCCCGGCTACCCCCTCCTTTCAGGGAGTTGGAGAGAGCGAGAAGGTCTCCCCTCAGCCTCCTCTTCTCCAGGCTGAACACCCCCAGCTCCCTCAGCCTCTCCTCACCAGACTTGTGCTCCAGACCCCTCACCAGCTCTGTCGCCCTTCTCTGGACCCTCTCCAGCACCTCAATGTCTTTTTTTGTGGTAAGGGGCCCAAAACTGGACACGTCACTTAAGGTGGGGTCTCACCAGTGCCCAGTACAGGGGGGCAATCATTGCCCCAGTCCTGCTGGCCACACTGTTTCTGATACAGGCTGGGATGCTGGTGGTCTTCTTGGCCACCTGGGCACACCGCTGGCTCATGTTCAGCTGCTGTCAACCAACACCCCTAGGTCCTTTTCTAGCCGGTCTTCCTCCCAGCCTGTAGCGTCCATGGGGTTGGTGCGACCCGAGAACAGGACCTTGGCCTTGTTGAACCTCACACCACTGGCTTGGGCCCAATAATTTCTTTGGCTTGGGCCCAATAATTTCTTTGGCTACACACACTAATGGGATTACAGTATTTCCTACATATTACTGTGCTGTCATTGCTTCAGCAACGCCAAGGGAAAATTAAGCACAGTTTATTTTTTTTGATGTGGGCCATCAAACCCACCCTTGCCATGGGCCAACTGCTGTGCCAGGGGCCTCACTGTCCAGAACAAACACAAGCTGTGCTCCAAGTGCCAGCTCTGACAGCTACACGCTGTCGTACAGAACGGTTCCAAGGCAGGCGAGCAGCTTTGTACAGAACATTTCACAGGAACTGCAGTTATTACTGGAAGGTAACATTAAAACCAACATGAAAACCGACTAAAGGTTACAGCGTTTGGCGTTACAAGTGTTTCACAGCCAGCATGTAGCCCTCATGGGGTGAGGGTGATGGAGGCAGGAGCAAGTGTTGCAACATGAGATCTGACATCACCTGATTTATTTATGTGCTTGAACAGCGGGTTATGTTATCTATGTGATTTGTCATTTAAAAAGGATATTATTCTAACTGAATTTTAGCTATAGCCATTAAAAAGAGACATGCAGCCTGGAACACACTGTGCTAATATTTAAGTTCTGAGTGCAAAATCACTTATTTGGGTTTTTTTGTTGGTTTTTTTTTTTTTTGCCTATGGATGTACATAATAAAAGATGGTGATGTGAAGATAGCTGAAGATCTCCATTTTCTTTTCCCTGAAAGCAGCAGAGAAGGTAAGATTTCTGTTGAGGAGACATAGGGAGCTATGTAGAAGGAAATTAAGATGTTGTTATAATCCTCTCACAGCTGGGAGAGGCATACCCCACCAGGAAGCTACTTCATCTTCATAGCTTATTTTTATATTAAAACATATTAAATATTTAAGATGATTAAAACCTACAGTGGTTTAAGATTTATTTTTGGGAGGCTACAGAGAGATTGTAGAAAACTGAGCATGCTCTACCTTGAAAACTGTGAGGGTACTTTCCTATTCTTAGGTCATTTAAATAGAAAGCATCTATCCTTAAACACATTGAAGAGTAACAGTTGGACCCAGTCCTCTTTGTTTTCAAATAATAAGGTGTTCAGCATTTACCCCCAGTGCCAGGTAGTATTAAGTGCTCAAGCACCATACATCGATCTAATAGAATGCTTTAATATGCATATTAATATATGTTTATCATTAAAATAATTGTAATTGCCTTTAAATATTGTTTACCTGAATTAATTTCTACAGGTATGTTTTCAGTAAAGTAATTTACATGGGCTGGAATGTCTCATCAGTCTAATCCATTCTGTCCAGATGGTATTTTTCTGGTTGGGAAAAGTAACAATTATTCATGTCTCATCAGTCTAATCCATTCTGTCCAGATAGTATTTCTCTGGTAGGGAAAAGTAACAATTATTCCTATACTTTTATCATAGACTGTTTTTTTCCTGAGAGTTGTTTGACAGCCAGAATTACAGCTGTTGAAGATTATAATTTGTTTATAGTAAAAATACATGGATTGTTTGACAGCCAGAATTACAGCTGTTGAAGATTTTCATTTGTTTATAGTAAAAATACTGCTTTCTTTTAGGGGGCAGGGGGATATCTATTATTGTGTCTTGTATTTTGGAAAATGGGGCTGCATTCAGAGTTTATTCCTAGACACTTTGTAATAAACAAAAATCAATAATTACAGTCTTAATTAGAATATTATCTTTGCCAGCTAGAAGATTAAACGTTACTTCATAGACATTTTGTTTTTTTCCTGAGAGTTGTTTGACAGCCAGAATTACAGCTGTTGAAGATTTTCATTTGTTTATAGTAAAAATACTGCTTTCTTTTAGGGGGCAGGGGGATATCTATTATTGTGTCTTGTATTTTGGAAAATGGGGCTGCATTCAGAGTTTATTCCTAGACACTTTGTAATAAAGAAAAATCAATAATTACAGTCTTAATTAGAATATTATCTTTGCCAGCTAGAGGATTAAACATTACTTCATAGACATTTTAGAGAGGTATCTGTTTCTGTCCTTACAGCAGGTCTGTATTTTTGTTATCTCTTTCTTTAGAGAGGTATCTGTTTCTGTCCTTACAGCTGGTCTGTATTTTTGTTATCTCTTTTTTATGTATATATATTTTTATTTTGTGCCTATCATTTAATTTCAAAACTTTGAGTTGTTTTGTTAGGGTATGAGCCTATACTGGCAGTAGGAAACACATGTATTTATGCATGATCAAGAGCCTGTGTTTTTTAGGGAAATTATTCCTTGTTATAAAAAATAGGGCACTTTCACAAAGTTTGAAAAAATTATTTGAAAAGGGATAGAGGCAGTAGAAACTGTTGGGGGGAAAAAGAGCAGAGACTAATAATACTAATTTTCTGGCACTAAGGTAGCCTGGAATAATTTGCTTAAATAGGCAACTAATCAGGTTGAATTTTTAATGGAAAACTAATGTTGGGATTTTTGGCTGGGGGACTCCAAGAAAAAACTGGCAGTAGGAAACACATGTATTTATGCATGATCAAGAGCCTGTGTTTTTTAGGGAAATTATTCCTTGTTATAAAAAATAGGGCACTTTCACAAAGTTTGAAAAAAATATTTGAAAAGGGATAGAGGCAGTAGAAACTGTTGGGGGGAAAAGGAGCAGAGACTAATAATACTAATTTTCTGGCACTAAGGTAGCCTGGAAAAATTTGCCTAAATAGGCAACTAATCGGGTTGAATTTTTAATGGAAAACTGATGTTGGGATTTTTGGCTGGGGGACTCCAGGAAAATATATTTTTAAGGACACGATGGATGTCAGTGATGAAGTGAAAGGATAAAGGAAAAGGCTCTTTATCTAACTGTAATGATGCATGATGTGAAAAAATAAAAGCCCACAGGGAGTGACCTGACAACTCACCAAGGCCACCACCAACCCCCTCTGGCACCTTCACATCTCGGAGCTCTTCTCTGGGATTTGTTGAAAGCAGCCACGGGTAAGTTCGGAGAGGTCTCCCAGTTGGCCAGGGTGTTGTAACACACGAAGGGAGGCTGGTGAGAGCTGAAGTTCAGTGTAAGCAGGGCTGGGAAGTTGCCTTAGGCTATGCAACAGCAACAGCAGCCGGCCAACCTCAAGTGCGTTGTTACAGGAAGGTCAAGGAGCTTGCCTGATCTTGAAAGAGAAGAGATGAAAAATATCTGTGATGGGAGGAACTGAAGAACATTTTCGAAGGTATCGAATGTGGAAAGTGTTGTCGGTCTGTTTAATCATAGAAACACGCTGAAGGAACTTTGTAATTTGTATTTTTAATCTATAATATGCTATAACTTGAATTTGTACCAATAGAGCCTCCCAGGGAGCTAGATCTTGGTGCTTGCCAAGCTGGGAACTTCCACCGTTACAGTGGAAGGCTTCAGAAAGGACTCTTGTACTCCCAAGAGTGAGGAGACAGCTCATGGCACAGGAGAAGGGAGACAGATGTCTCCTGCGCTTTGCAGACACTCTTCCCCTCTGCTTTGCCAGTTCCGGAGTTAGTTCTGGCAGGGTCACAAGGACAGAGTTAAATCTGTCCTGACCCTGACCATGCAGTGATGCTGGGAACGGTCCTGCCCTCTTACAGTAGCCCATTGCCACTCCAGACCTCCTGTTATTCTTTCAGCATCTTTGTAAGTATTTTTGGGAAGAAGGAAGCACAAAATACAGCTTCCTCACCTGGCTTCCAGAATTCAGTTCTGAGTGAGCTGTAACTCTAACAACCAAAGACTCTCACAGAAGGATCAATTGTACAACTACTCTGTATTTTGTAAAATAGTTTAGGTTGGAAGGAATCTTAAAGATTGTCTTGTTCCACCCCCCTGCCCTGGGCAGGGACACCTCCCACCAGCCCAGGTTGCTCCAAGCCCCCTCCAACCTGGCCTTGACCCCCTCCAGGGATGGGGCAGCCACAGCTTCTCTGGGCAACCTGGGCCAGGCTCTCACCACCCTCACAGCAAAGAAGTTCTTCCTGAGATCTCATCTCAATCTCCCCTCTTTCAGTGTCAAACCCGTCCCTCTCGTCCTATGGCTCCCCTCCCTGATCCAGAGTCCCTCCCCATCTCTTCTGGAGCCCCTTGAGGGACTGGAAGGGGCTCTAAGGTCTCCCTGGAGCCTTCTCTTCTCCAGGCTGAGCCCCTCCAACTCTCTCAGCCCGTCCTCCCAGCAGAGAGGTTCCAGCCCTCCCAGCATTTCTGTGGCCTCCTCTGGCCCTACTCCAACAGGTCTATGTCCTGCAGGTGGGATCTCACAAGAGATTGCTTCATCTTGATGTAACTTTCACATCTTCATCTTGATGTAAGTGAAATCCATTTAAGTAACAATACTTGCCTTGATTAGACCAGGTAACATGTTGGATTATGTCATTTCGGTAAAGCCATGTGCTTGTGCTCAAATGTTTTAATATGTTAGCTAGCTTTCCTTTAGTTAGCTTGTTTGTTTTTAATAGTCAGTCCTTAAGATGTGATAATTTGAAAAATCTTCCAGACTTTGAACTTAGATTGAAAGCATACTGTGACTTTTCAGTGAAAATTACCATGAACTTGGTAGACAACCTGGGTCATAAAAAAATAAATATAGTTGATCCTCTTTTGCAGTCCTATATCACCAAAGTATTTGAAAGCTCGAATTTCTAACTGCAAGTACAGCCTCAGAGTTCGTAGGAAGCCAAGTCTGATAATAGGAGAGAAAGTGTGATTCCAGTATATGCAAAAGTCTTTGAAAATTACTGGAGTTTTGATGCTTCTCCTCAAATGTAGTTTCGGGTTGGTTTTTTTTTCTTTTTTTAGCTGAAAGTGTATTTTCTGAGTTTGAATCCTGCATTAAAAAATACTAATAATGATAATGGATATTTTAGTACATATTTGTAAGTGACCAAAGTCTTCTTTGATGGGATTTATGTATATCTGCTCTCCTTCCATAGGGTTTTTACAGAGCTGCAGATTATAACTGTATGACAAAAGTACAGTTCCCAGCACCTACATCACTCACCTGGGAATGAAAAATGTCTCAGTGGGAGCTCCTAATTACCCACACGAGTGGAACAGGAACTGTTTTATTCTCCAATACCGTTTTGTGGCAGAGTGGAAAGTAAGAATGGGTTGTGTTGAAAACATAAAAGATTATGGTAAGGTTAAGAAAGTATGCTGTGCTGCTGAAATAATGTCTGAGGAGTGCTCTAAATTAAAGTTATCTTGCCATGGATAGGACTATCAAATATAACACAAAATAGGAGTAAGGAAGTGGATATTTTTTATGCCTGACACCTCTAGCATCCTGTTACACAATAACTGTGTTCAATTAATAGCTGTAGTCTTTACTGTTCTACTACGTAGAACCAACACAAAGATCTATAAGAGAACAATCTCTGAATCTCTTGATGAAGCAGTTTGAGCCCTAGAGGTGTATGTGCTCAGAAGAATCCTTTGTCCCAGAACTATATTGAGCCAAGCTGAAGTCTGTCATGCTTTATTTATATGAAATAATCCAACCCAAAACCTGAATTTATAGAGCACCTGATATACGAGAGTCCAATATAATTCACAAAAGTTATTTTCCCCTTATTATTTTGAGTATTCTCTTTATTACTCTGAGGAAAATACTCTACAGCTAAAAAACCTGATGCTTGAGATACATACAACCTCTCATTGATGTGCTGCTCCGTTATCTCCAGAAATAGCAATGAAGCACTTCCCATTCTGCATCCTTAGCACGTACCACCGTTGTTGGTTAAGAAACAAATCAAATGAGCTAAAACCACTGGCATCTGTGGATGAAAGCATGGAAACTGTTGGACTTTCATTTTAACAGAAGTTGAGAAATACGTTTGCTATTATGAAAATAATATTAGTATCATGTCAATCACTTCAATTCCATAATTAAGTCTTACTTAACAGATGTTTTACTGAAATTTGCATAGTGATGCTGCGGTCGCTTGAAGCTTTTCCTACAGCATATGTTGGTGTAGGTTTTTTTAGGTCAGTGATTACCGTACACACAGATGAATTCAGAAAAAAAAAAGTATTCCTACTCCTTTTTACTTTATTTTGCTATGTTAAATCAAAGGGCAAGATCAATAAGGTGACCCTGTCTTCTAAAAATCAGTCTCACTGCTTCCATCCTATTAAGTTATGCAAAACTTCTAGAATCATTCAGCAGAAGGTCTTTCCTTAAATAATTATTAACCAAACCCAAATTTAAAAATTTCATAAGCCTAGTTTGTCAGTCACAAGCATGTCTCTGTTAGCATCTTGATGGACTTAATACCTCTACAGCTGGTAGAGTCTTGTTTTGGTATCCAGTTTTTATCTGAAAGCTTTGGATTTGTAACTTTCCTGTCTAAGCTAATAAAATAGGATAAATGCAGGTCAATACTTGGATGAAGGCTCTGCTTTCTCACAGGGTGATCTAGTAGCAACAGCAGAAAAACTCATTCAGCTCTGAATCATTGTCAAACTGCTCTGCAGCCAGCTATGCTGTCTTTTGCAAAGACTTTCAACATAAAGATCCAGCTTATTTGCTTCCAGAAAAAAAAAGAAAAAAGATTTAAGTGTAGACATATCAGTCTCAGTCCTGACAAAATTCCAGGCTGGTTATTAAATTCTGCTTTTTTAAACCTTGGTTTGTTTTTTTGTTGTTAATTGAGTGGAGGAATTTTGTATTCTGAGAAAATCAACTCTCTCCTTTCACTGCTGTTGACCCTGAATCTTAAATTCTTTTTCAGATAAAACAACAGAGTTACTTATTTTGAACATGACAATTATCTGAAAGTGAGATAACAGTTGTTAATTTTCATTGTTCGTATGCAGGTCTCAAGGCATTTCACACCCTAGGAAAGAATCACTATCCACACTTTACAAGTGGGAACAAGGCATTGGAAGCATCAGGAGATGTCCCAAGGAGAAATGGCAGAAGAGAAGATACTCCCTCAAAGCCTGTCTGATGACTATCCACGAAGCCAAACTCTTTTGCTGGAGTAAGAGATTCAGTTTACTGAGCAATCGGTGAGTTGTTCAACCTCTAAAATACTGGAGGAAGATGCAGAACACCACCATAAGTAAATGCAGGGCTGGCAAAATTCAGAAAAGCAAGTTAGAATACAGCAAAGATATTAGAGCGAGCAGATGTTAGTTTAAAATGTGATTGCAGAGATGTAAAAAGCAGGCAAATTATAAGCATCCAATGAATAATGCCAATTGTTGGGGGTTTCTTTGAGTTGATGAAATGACTGGCATCTTCAGGGTGGTCGAAGTCAGTATCCAGTGTTGATAATCACAGAGTTAAATAAGTAGATACTTGTAATCAAGAGCTGTACTACTGTAATTATTTTAGGTAGTTTTTAACAGAAAATATGTATTTATACCTAAGATTTAGTATAATCAGGTTATGAAAGATGTCTTATGTGATTTTCAACATCTTTTCACCTTTTGAAAACTGGAAGGTTGAAAATTCTGTAAGAGTTATATTATACATCAAGGATCCAGCCCAACCATTTTTTGTCTAAAATCCGTTGCCACAGTAGAAGAGCACAGGACTAGTTCATATAGTAACCACCTAATGAAAACAAATGAACCTCTCACCTTTTGTAGGAAATGCTTTTAATAAGCAGGAAATATTCTCCCATAAACAATACCCACATTCAAGTATTTCATTTCCTAGATGCTACACTATATCTACAAATTTTCATTTGAAGGTTTTAACCTTGTTACGGGTTATAAATCTATCCCCTGGTGCACCGGTAGGCAACAAATACCAAATCACAAAAATCTCATAGTATCTGAATTAATTACTATTGTACACACTATTTTATTCCTCGTATAGACTGTAGATCATTGAGTTGATATGACTGATTTTGTGATGTTTTGTAAATCCAAAGAATTTAAAGAAATAACTCAACACATTGTACACAGAGCATATTGAGTCCATAGAACAGTCGATCAAACAAAATCTTTTACAATTCAGTTTAGTATAATTTTGTGTCACATTATTCAACATGGGACAGTGGCAGCTGCATTTCAAAAATAGGTATATCTTTTTAAACTGTAAACTTCAAAAAGCTAGAAAATAACTAAAATTATCTGAGGGAAAGAAAAGATAGAGTTGTTTTTAATTGCCAATTTATCCTCCTTATATTAAGATATTTTCTGGAAAACCTGTTTTAAAAATAGCTTTAAATATATTTCCATTAAACAGAAATGAAAACATGGTCTATTCTGAGTGAAGTCAAAGAGAGCGGTGACATTTAATGATGGGTTTTAAAGGAGGGTAGACAAGTTTTCAGCCAGGGTTTCCAAATACATAAGTAGTTTTAGCAGTTGAAAGCAGAGCATTTAAATCCTTTTGACATTCTTAATTGGATGTTCCCTCGCTCTCTCGCCTGTCTTGCTATTTGCCTTTATTTCTCTCTGAGTTTTTCAGAATATTCAAAATGTTCATAACCTCGCAAAAATAATGCACTTAAATATTTATAATGCATATGAGGTCAAATTGTGCGTGCGGCACAGAACCATTGGAGTCAGTGGAATTATACCTGCTGATATTTTACCCCTCACGTTTATCAGTCAAGGCAGATAAACAGATGCATACACTTCTTTAAAATCATCTTATTGCCAGAGGTTAGATATGTGAAGAATCAAACTGACAGTAATGGAGGTTTGGGTACAGAATGGGAGTAGCAGGAGCTCTGCAATCATGTCCATGTGTGTTTATATATGTGTGTGTATATATGTATATGTGTGCCACTATAGATTAAAAACATTTTTCGCAATTATTTTTATCCTAGAATCTAGATTCTAGAGAAGCTATCTCACATTATATGAAACTTCAGTATTTTTTGGTTGATGCTTTTATCTCATATTTGTTTGTCTGTGATGTGGGACGTGCTCATGGTATAGTAATATAAGACCACCAACCATCGCAGAGCTTTCAATCACACAAAAACCTGCATGTGAGGGAGGAAGGGAAGTACGGTCTTTACTGTACGTGCTCATGGTATAGTAATATAAGACCACCAACCATCACAGGGCTTTCAATCACAAAAACCTGCATGTGAGGGAGGAAGGGAAGTACGGTCTTTACTGTGTTTAAAAAAAAAAAAAAATTAAAAAGAGATATAATTAAGAGAGGAAAAGAAATCAAAAAAGCCCACATAATCAAAAAAGCATAATCAATGCTAGTGTGTATGTCTGTGATTTATTCCTGGTCTTCAAATACTAAATACTAAAATACTCAATAAATGTAGAGATAGTCCTTCCAATTAAAAAAAATACATTGTAAGTCAGGAAACAGCTTAGAGAAGAACAAATAGGGTATCCTAAGAAAGCAAACTGTTCATTTGAGCAGAGCTGTGGAACGTTCATCAGCCCTGAAGCTGAGAGGGATGTGATGCCATGGGACTGCGTTAGAACAAAGTTTAATCTACTCCAATGTGGGTGTTGCAGGCATAAAGAAAAAAGCCAGACAGGTGGGATTTCTGAAATTTTGGTCTTTTCCAATCACCTGCATTTTTCAAATTGTTATTAATTTTTTTTCCACTTGTCTTGGGCTCATACATTTTGATTTTCTTATGCCAGTATCACCAACCCTTTAAATAATGTGTGTACCTCTTTACCCTTATTTCTTTATTACATGATTTTTAAAACGTTTTTAGGACGTTGCTAGTTTAGCATGGAAGTGGCCAATCTAAGCAAACTCAAAATTTTCAAGAATTTAATTTAATTTTACTTTATTTTACTTATTCTTTATTTTAGTCTATTTCCCCACCCCCTCAGTTATATAACTGCTGTGTTTCTTTTTTTTTTTTTTTTCCAAGTGACTTGCTTCAAAACATTTTATCTGTTTAGCACAGTACATCCCAAGCTATTGAACATATCAGGAAAGACAAAATGTGGCAGCTGTAGCCTCAGGTAACTCACAAATGGGCTGCAATCACAACTGAGAGATTGGAGGAAGAAGCACAACTTGCTCGGCTTAGAAGTAACTGAGTTAATTATTTGCTGACATTGATATTCCATGATAATTGCCACATTTCACAGGATTCCACAGAGATTCAAAGGTTACCAGGTGATAAACCAAACTGAAAGAAATGAAGTCAGGAAGTTCGTGAACCGCAGATAGCTGGAAACAGTATGGCAAGAATAGTGTCAGGAGCAGCTGAGGGAGCTGGGGGGTGTTCAGCCTGGAGAAAAAAAGGCTGAGGGGAGACCTTCTCACTCTCTACAACTCCCTGAAAGGAGGGTGTAGCCAGGGGGGGTCGGCCACTTCTCCCGAGGAACAGGTGATGGTACGAGAAGAAGCGGCCTCTAGTTGTACCAGGGGAGGTTGAGGATGGATATTGGGAAAAATTTCTTTACTGAAAGTGTTGTCAAGCCTTGGAACAGGCTGCCCAGGGAGGTGATGGAGTCGCCATCCCTGGAAGGATTTAAAAGCTGGGCAGATGTGGTGCTGAGGATCATGGGTTAGTGGTGCTTTTGTCAGTGTTGGGTTGATGGTTGGACTCTATGATCTGAAAGATCCCTTCCAACCTTGATGATTCTATGATTCTATATCGCCACAAGCTCATCCTCTTCTTATACCTCCTGTAGGTACCTGTTCCTGACCTCAGACAGAGCCAAGCACCAGGCTCCATGTGATTTTGTGGCCTTCCATGGTGAGTCCCAGACTTGACTGTGGCACTTTCACAGCATGCTGGGAAAGGGGTGCACAGATGATAGTTGTGCACCAACACCTCACACTTTCATAACATGGCTAAGTCACTGAGTGGGACTTTTTTATGACTGTGGATCTGGCTGAGCTCCTGACCACCTGGAGATCCTGGACCAATCTATGGCAATACTCCCTTTTTATTCACTGGAAAGGAATATAGATGCTGAGAGGAAGAGAAGCTCTGCCACCAAAGATCGGACATGTTAGGAACTGAGATTATAGGTGGAGGACAAGAGCTACCAAGAGCTGCTAGAAGCAAGGTTTTCAGAGTGCAATGAGCAGGCAGCGTAGGTAGGTAGGACAGCTTCTGGACAGAGACCTCTGGAGATCATCCAGGCCAACCCCCCTGCCAGAGTAGGGTCACCCAGAGCAGGTTGCAAAGGATCATGTCCAGGCAGGTTTTGAATGTCTCCAGAGATGGAGACTTCACATCCTCTCTCGGCAGCCTCTTCCAGGGCTCTGCCACCCTCACAGGAAAGAATTTTTCTTATTTGTTGAGGTAGAACTTCCGGTGTTCCAGTTTGTGCCCTTGCACCCTTGGGAAGGGCCTGACTCCACATTCCTGCCACCTGCCCTTTAGATATTGGTTGGCATTGATGAGATCCCCTCATTTCTATGAACACCCATTTCTAATGAGCTTTGGGGCATCAGGTTCAGAGTTCTCATTTAGGAATACAGATTTTTTGTGTTTACTGTCTAGAGTTAAGGATTTCAGAACTTCCCGGGGGGGTTATGTCGCACCCATGGCCCTGCAGGACCCCCTGGATTGTTCTGTCTCCCTTTCTCTGTGGCAGCAGATTTGCCAGGCAGTGGCATCCACTGCTTTGCCACATAACGGGGTACCAGAGCAGGGTCTTGGAGTTGCTTCTTTTGAAACAATAAACATCTGCTTCTCTGTTCCTACATCCAAGCTGTGAAACAAAGAAGTGTTACAATTACCCATATAAATGCTTCCCAGACGTGAAACTTTTGTGACAGTGTTTTTAGCCCCAAGAAAGTCAAGGTTATTTTGGGGTTTCTTTCAGCTTTTGCAGTATAGATGCAGGAGGAGAAACGGATGGGCTGGTGGCTGTTAAAGACCTTTATCCATGCCACAGCAGTTTGATCTTCTCGGGCAATTATTGGAAATAAGGAGAAATAGAGTTTTCTAAGGCACAGCTGGGTACAAGTGAGGCAGGTTGAAAAACAAATTAGGTGCAAAGTATGTTTTGTGCCTTGGATGTCTTTGTGTTTTGTGTCTTTTACCTTTGGGTAAAAATACCTTTTTGGTATTTTTGTTTCATTCTTTTTGGAACACAAGCGAATTGGAGGAAGTGGCTTACATCTGATTTTAGCACCTAACTAAGCTAAAAAAAAAAAAAATCCATACAATCCCTCATCCCTCTATAATGACTTAAAAAAAAGGGTCAAAACTAATGACCTGTATTGCAGAGCCTATTCAGGACAACACAGATTTGTTTTCCAGAGCTCCTGAATGCAGATACTGAACAGATTAATAAGGAAAGAGGTAATTATTCAGAGTGGTGGATCTGGGGAGAGATGATGGGCAAGGAGGTGAGGGCAGATAGGGACAGGACTTCTACGCTGTGGTTCACAACCTTCTTTGCTGTTAGTGGACAAGGGCTGAAGGGTTTTAAGCTAGGAAGGTGCTGGCTCAGCGTGGTTTATAACCCTCAAAGTGACAGTTGCTTGCTGAATTTGAGTGTACAGAAGCTCAATCTTCATTCCTGCCCATAGCACAAAAGAAAACAGGTTTTTAATTTTGACTGTGCTGTTATGAGGATGCTTGACAGCCCTCTCCTTACAAGTGCCTGTGAGTAATTTAATTATTACTGTTTGCTGTGCGGTACCTCGCGTCCTGGGGGGAAGAGGGGGCTCAGCAACTTCTTCAGCTTCTCACAGCTTTCACTAAGGTTTGCATCCTCTGCCCTTTGGTAATCTCTCATGATCAGCACTCTTTAATTACCTTTATTAACTGATTTGCTAAATACTACTAAGGTTAGTAATCTTGTTTGTTTTCCCCCAATAGCATCTCCCTGCTTTTCTGGACCATTGCAGGAGGCACACAGTTATGATGATGACAACAGCAACTGCACTATGACTTGCATGTTTTTAACAGCTCTCTCAGGTAATTTGTACTGATTTCTTACTTTTTCTACTTCGTTTACTATTAGTGCCGTTTCTTGTTAGAGATGTTTTAGAATGAGAATATTCATCTATACCTTAGTACTCTTTTTTTTAACCATAAAACCTGCTGTGTTTGCTCAGATACGAAACACAACCCATACAGTAGGCAACTGATCCCTCCCAAATGCACCATGTGCTAACACATCTAGAAAAGGCATTTGAATTAGACACCTTTTCCCAAGAAAATTCCTCCTTTAACTGAAGGAAATTGTTCCCATTTTGCCTGCCTTCAGCTATTTTGGGCTTGTCCAGAAAGAAAGAAGTTTAGGAAGCTAGAGGGAAACAGAAGTTGAAAAAATTCTTCAGTCTCCCCAAGGTCATCCTGGGTGCTGTGTCTGAGGAAACGTCTTTGTACACTCCGTAAATTCCCATTTGTTAACTCCTCAATATAACTTTGGTGCAGGTTTCCTCTCTTAAGAGTGATATTAGCTAATAGAAATACAATCATATAGCCAGTCACGAGGATACGCACACATCCGTAAAGTCAGATTTGTGGTGACTTGTCCCTTCTACACCACAAACACCCCCCATTCCCTCCCCCTTCTCAAAAATACATCTCAGAGGAATATTTTACTCAGAGGAAAAATTATCATGTCTTAAGTGTTTTAGAGTATTTTAAAGCAGTCAGTAATAGAGAAGAGTGGGAAAAATTAAACAAAGGGTTGGAAAACGTGTCCTCAACTTACTTTGTTGCGTAAAATACTTGTTTAAAGGGCTAGAAGCATATCTTTATATTATTTTAAAAATAACTTCTGTAAATTCATATCCAAAACACCAATATTCTAAAAGACTTCTTCTCAGAGAAAAAGAAATAGTGCAATATGATGCACTAATAAGCATTACATAAATAGCAGGTCCCTGAAATGTTAGATTCTGCTTTCTATAATAAAGATGATCCTGAGGCCATGGCCCGCGATACGTGTCTACCTGTAACAAATTATCATACCTGAAAGAAAAAATATGCAAAGTAAATACAAAAAAAAAGATGTTTTTTTACCTCTCCAAGTGTATCAACTGTTCCTGTCACATCTCATTTTCTTTTTAATGAGCAGAAGAATGTTGTGGTTTTTTGGTTTTCTTAAATCAGCAGTGGTATATTAATTTCTTGTAGCATTCATAATACCATACAGAACTTGAAGCTTTGTAAACCTCAACCTTCTTTTCAATTATTTACATATGATAAATATATATTTGTCAAGATACTGAACATGCTGCTGGAGCAGGTCCAAACCATTAAAGGAGAGTCCTTGCTGTGAGGGTTCCTCTTGTTTTATTCACTTTTCTCCCATTATCATGTGAGAAATTCCAGTGTCATTTTTAAATCCCATTTTTTTCTGAATGTTTTTGTGCTGGTATTCTTCAGTGCTGTATTTGAAACAAACAAACAAACAAAAAAACTCCAGTCTGGTCCCGAGCATTTACTGCTAAGTTTTGACATCCCCCTGGAAATCAACTACCGTGTTGCAGCGTAATCTTTCATTAGGCATTAAATATTAAAAAATCTTATAATCATAATAATATTATATGATTTCTATAGAAGATTGCAGAAAGACTATATGCTTCCCTCAGGGCCCATAATCCAGTCTTTTTCTACATACTCAAGACCAGGTAAAGAGCTGAGAGTCATAAAAGCACAGGAAGAATTTTAAGTGGAGAAATTAAGTTTGTGCCAGTTTTTAAAAATAAGTCCACAGAGTTTTCTTAAAATGTAATGTTGGGTCCAAGAACGGAGAAAGGCAGCCGTATAGGGGCAGGGAAAGGAATAGTGACATGGGATTCTGGATGTGGGAAAATTCAGAAATTCAGTGTTTTGTCTGGGGGGCTTAATTTGTGTTATATGCTTTTCAGCTATGAACGTGTAAACCTAAATCCCAAAAGATAATGCCTTTTTTCAGCTGTATTAATCACAGTTTAGAGAAAAGCAAAGCTTGCCCACCAATGCTGAGAGAATTTCACTGTCTAAGAAATTGCCTCATGAAGGTGGCTGGCATGGAGAGGAATTCAGGCTGTGACAGGCTCAGCATTATCTTCAAAATATGCAACACCAGTGGGCAAGTAAACACAAGCCAATGCTGTCTCTTTACTGTTTCACAATTTTATTTATATATTTGTGCTTTTCCTTATTTTTGAGTCAAATTGAATGGTACATCACGCCTCATCTTTTAAAATACGGGTGAGTTGCACATAGTGAACACTTTCCTTTTTTTTTTTTTCCACTGCTCTTTCTCTTATTTGCTATTTCATCCTGGAATATTATTTACAGATATTTTTTGTCCTCTCCAGGATTGTGATTTTGAAAATTCTGAAATTTGAGTCACACAGGTTACCTAAAACACAATCCATGAGTGGCCACCACAATACTTTTGCTGTGCTCACACCAGGAGAACTGTAGCGTTTTAAACACCACTGTGTACTGTTTTGATGCCAACCAGTTACCAAGAAGGCATTAAACTGGGAAGTCCAACCGATGTAAAATTGACTTGAATAATTGAAACAGAATTTGACCCTACATGTTCCCGTTGTTAAGCTTTATAAAGCATTTATGGTCCATGAAAATGAAGACAACTCATGTATATTAATGTAATGCTATTATTCTAATTATCTTTGCATATGGCATAGTAAATATTGATACTATTAATAAAGTTAAAGCAAGATTGAATTGAATATTCATAATTGAGCTCACAGTATGTTACAGATGTTTTATGCTGAGAATTAATGTTGTGTGAAGTTATATATAACTTTGATAGGTTTTAATTTGACTGCCTATGTTATCTACCATATGTCTATTCTGTCCTTGATTATAACCTTCTGGCAAAAAAAAAAAAGTAATAGTTGTCATCTGTGAGTTTTTCCATAAGAAGAGAAACACCATGAACTAGAAATGAAAAGATCTTAAATTAGGTTGCTTTTGAAGAACCTCCACATTTATCTCAAAGGCTTTTTTCTTGTTTCAACGCTGATGTAAAAAAAATGCATTTGTGTGTTCCCCGCACTATAGCTGATTTTTCCTCCCCCATTGGTTTAGTATGGTGTCAGCATTGCAACTTGCTGTTGATTCTTGTTATTCTCCTCCTCTCTATTTTGGGCCTTCCAGATTTCTAGAATTTCAACATAAAAATCTTGTGTAGGGTCCCAAACCTTTGTTTGAATTCCAGTCCTTGTGAATCTGAGGTATTATCTCTTGAATCCTGTTGATGTCTGAGATTCAGTATTTCTAAATCTGAATGTAGAACTGCCTCCTTTCAAATTTCTCTTTGCTGCCTCATTTTTGTCAGATTATTGTCATTCCCAGGTTTGCATTGACACTTTTGGTCTATTTTTCCCTCTTCTTCACTCTGACAATTAATGCTCTGTTGCTGTCTTCAGTTCAACTTCAGCAAGTTGCCATTGCTCTCTCTACTGTTTCTCTTTTTCTGAACTAGTGAAAAAAAATTTCCAAGGTTTGAAAATACTTTGAGAAAGAGGATTCACTTATCTTAAAACTAAATAATTCCACTCCCTTTTCACCACTGTTTATTTTCCTTGGAGCACAAGCAGGAAATTCCAAGAAGGGTCCATGGGCCCCATGTCTTTTGCTTCTGTGTGTGGCCCCAGGCAGTTGTTGCAAGTCTAGTACTCCTTTTTTCCCCCTTGAAAAAGCAGGTTTATATAGAAAAACAGTGTCTTGGTATAATCTGTTCTCTAGAGATAAGTGGCCTGGGATTTTTTTTTATTTTTTTTTTTAATTTCTCTAGAGATAAGTGGCCTGGGATTTTTTGGTTTTGTTTTTTAACATTTATTTGTTTTCTTCCTGCAGTAGACAAGACGTGCTTAGAAACTTGTATATTAACACAACTGCAATGGACTTCCAGGACTTTGAAGCTCCTGTATGAATGTGCTTTAAAGAGCAACTATTGGCTGGTTCGTATATTGCAAATACAGACATTTCATTGTATGCACTTAAAATTGCATATATATGTGAATATAAACTAAGCGAATGAAGGAACTGCTATTTGTCTGCTGCTCCTATTCACTGTTCAGGTGCTCTGCCACCAGATGATAAATGGAAAGGGATTCAAATAGAAATGAAGAATTAAAAATAATCTTCAGGGAAACCCCCAAGTACACCTTAAATCACATTGATTAAGGCATATTTCAACAGATGCTTAGCTTGAGATAAATCTATAATAAGTCTAATTCGGCAGGGTATAAATCTCACAGATACATGCTTAAAGTACATTTAACTAAAGTTTATCTCTAAGTGCTCTTCAGTTTTGCACATCAGGCCCCCAGGATGGTATTTTCTGGATGCCTGGTTGCATTATCTGTGCCTGGTACAAAAGTACTGACCGGAAAGTCTTGTCTAAGTGACCATCTAAGAATCCTTTTTTAAAATGAGTCACAACATGGATGGGATCCTTTTCTCTAGAGCAACATAAATTATTCTGCTTTAATTACAAAATCCTAATTTTTAAACAGTTTTCTGCTGCAGTTAGAATATACCTTTAAAGAAATAATGTACAAATCCTATGGATTAAGTCACCTTGATTCATCAGGTGCAAAGGTATTTTGAACGGAATGAGGCAATGATGAGGAGGATGTGGGAGGAAGAGAGGGGAAATTCTAGTGTGCAATTGTTTCCTTAAGCACAATATTTTTTAAAGTCCATCTTTGTAATTCATCCAATAGAACCGTAAATCCTTTTATTTAGTGAATTAAGACCTACCACTTGCTTAAGAAATATTTCACTGGCGTTCTCCCATTCCACTTGGCACTAGTTAGAACATTAAAAAAACCACAGTGGCAAACCCAAAAACCCAACAACGAACTTTCAAAATTAACAACATTTTCATGTGGGTAACATCAAATTATCAAACACATCATGTAGATAGTAAAGTAACAGCTGAACTAATAGAACACATTTATGAGGCAGTTCCTGTGCCCAGGATGCTGATTATGTGTAACCCACAAATAATGTACAGTATCTCTGAACATCTGGTTGCTCATGGCTTTGGTACAGCTGTACTCAAGTTTTCTTGAAAGCAAAATGTTTGCAGCTCTCAGGTTTTGTTTGAATTGTTGTAATTTAATTGGTTTTCTCTCATTAGAATCTGATCTTCTTGGTCCAGTCACAGTTTTCTTTGTTCAGGGACTCTGAATTTGAAGTAGATTTTGAAGTAGATTTTCACTTTAAATCAAACTTTTTGGATAATTTTTCATTTTGTATTATGAATTAAATCCATGTTTCTTATGGTTTTTATTTCTATGGAAGAAGATTCTCCTCCAGCTAAATTTATTTGCTGTAAACTGAATAAAATATAATTTGATATGAAGTCCTTCAAAACAAACTATTTTTCAGCGAGAAAGATGCTTTCTTTTGCCACAAGCACTTACATTTATGGCAGGGTTCTAGGCTGCGAATCCCCAGTGGAGAAATAAAACACTTTTTCTGTGTGTTTCCTTTGGCTGGATTAGCCAGACCTTGATTTGGCTACAGACAAGTGCTGTCGTCTGCTTTCTTTTTCTTTCTTTCCTTTCCAACATATGGAGGGGAGCACGTTACTCACGCTACTCCCTGCCAGCTGCTGATATAAAATGGTACTGCTCTCTAGGGAGGCTTGTTTTACACATGTTTTTCCAAAGATCAGGATAAATTCTTCCCCTCTCGAGTCCGTGGTGTAGCCTTACCTTACATTATTCTGCCTTTTGTGCATCCACAGCTCTCAAAAGGAAAAGCAACTTACTGTTCCACTCTTGCTTTATAAATACTTATCAGCCAAGAAAATGATCCACAAGTCCTTTCCTGGGTTTCTTCATCCATCAGATATCGTGACAATACGTTCAGCCTTTTATCAGGGTATGCATAATTAACATAACTTCTTCTTCACAGAGAGTGAAATCTCCAGTCCTTATTCCCATTTTTATTGAGACAATCATCTTGAAAATACACATCAGCCACAAGAAGATAATTCCTGTCAGCAATGATTCTTTAGCCGGGGTCACTGACATTGACTCCACTAAGTTGTGGAAACAAAAGAGAGCTATTTGGCTTTGTCCCCCTTTTTTTAGTTTTTCTTTTTTCTTTTTTTCTTTCCTGTTAGAATACTGTACAACAAAGCCCTGGAAGGGCCTGGGGGAGCAATTATCACCACATTTCTTGCACTTACTCTTCCCCACCCCCCTGTTCCTCTCACGCTGTTCTGCCTGCTTATTTTGTTATTTAATAAGATTTCTGCACAAGAAGCATGTATTTTTCCTGGACTGGAAACCGCTTTAATACTGTAGGTACTATTGCAATGTACAATTATCATTATGAATAACAGAATCTTATTTAATAGCAGTAATCTGCAGAGGCTGGCGAACTCCTGGAGCTACAGTTAGAGCATTTTTCCAAATATACAAAATCAAGTAAAAGTGTAAATTATCTCAGCAAAAGTGATTCATTACTATCCAAATTGTACAGTTGTGAATTTTACTTGGTTTTAATCTCTCAAGATCCTGCTAGCTGTCTGTTCTGACCCCCACCCCAGCATTTTGATGTTGTTGAGTCTAAAGAGCTTTTCCTACTATAAATTGGATACCTGTTTTAAAGAGGGAAAAAGAAAGAATACAGACTTTGTTTGATTGTATTATTTTGGTAGGAAAACCTTCTCCTTTCTTACAGATGTTGCATAAAACATGAGTGCATTCTTTTCACTTCTAGTATCTTATCTTCAAGAGCACTTTAGAAATGCAGCTCTCCTTTATTATGTATTAAAACGTTTGATTTGCTTAAATATATTCTCTTTTATGCAGGTTAGTGTGTACACTGATGAAACTTATTTTCTTCAGTCCTGTGAGGACCTTTAGAATATTTCAATTAGAAAATGTAAATAAAGTCACTTTGTCTGAAGGGCTATTATACAGGTAAAGAAGAAAATTAATTACATAATTGGAACAGTACCAGTTGACCGGCTTTGAGCTTAGAAACTGATACTTCTGTACAATGCCCTCAAACTAGTAGATTTTCTGGTAATAGCTTCATTATGACTCAATCCTAAATGTGAAGCTATTATACACTACTGTTAAGTTTAAATGTATTTCACTTGCTTATTATGGCATTGTCCAAACAATCATAAAATCATTTAGGTTGGAGAAGACCCTTAAGAGCAACAAGTCCAAGTGTTAACCTGGGAGATGAACCTGATTTGATAAAACTATGGCAAAAAATTGTTGGGAACTTTGAAGCTTTATGGAGTATTTATAGCCTAAATCGCAAACAGATCTTCAGTTTACTAGAGGTTTGTTTCACAGCTGGATGGAATATAAGTATTCATCTAAAATGCCTTCATTTCTGAATACTCTGTACTGAAGATACACTGCAGAGGAGTGCTGTAGCTCATTAATATCAGAGAGAGAAACTATTTGCTCCAGAGCAGCCCTAATTCTGCAGAATATTTTGTTTTTTATGCAGGGGATACATTTCTATTTGGGATTTATACTGACATCAAATGATGGTACTACAGTTTGGCAGCCTGACGCAGGCAGGTAAGTAGTTTAAGTGAAACCAAATCACACAATGCAATAGTATTGCACACAAGCAACATCCAGAAGACTAATTTAATGCTTACTACAATTATAGTGATCATGGAAATGAGTCCTTTGAACAGCTTGGCTCCATGTTCCTTCTGGTTCACACTGTACTTTTGCGAGTTTCAAATCAGGTATTTGGCATATATTTTATGCCCCTCCGCAGTCAGGAGGTTTTTTTTTTGTAGGCTATTTATTATATTAGTGGACTCTCTGCCAAGCCAAAACTGATATTCAAAAAAGAAAAGAAAAAAAAAAAAGAAAGATGTTTAGAAAGGAAAAACAAATTATCTGATAAAAAGTAGTCTGCTTAGGAGTGGAGGATGGGGGAAAAAATTTTGAGATTAACACCACTACTACCACATCCCACCTAGATTGCCTGTAAAAGTGACTGATTAATAAGAATATCTGCAGAACCACCAGCCAGCTTGGCACTAATTAGGTGGCAGCTGGTCCAGAAATAACAACATTTTCTAGAGTCACAATCCTAAATAAGTCTAGAAAAGCTGGGGAGAGTCCAAAGAAGAGCTAGACGGGATAAAGACCCATAGAAAATATGACACATTGAAATACTTGGATATTGCCTATTGGGGACAATGGGAACATAGAGTTGGCTTAATTTTTAATTAAAAAAAATAAATTACTTTGATAAACTGAAAAAAACCTAACCATAGAGAGAATTAATTACTGAAATAAATCAGCTCAGAGGTTGTAGCGGCCCTTTCATTGTAAGTACTTAAAAAGAAAAGGTAAACCTTTCTTCTTAAATCTGTTACAAATAGTCTATGGAGATATTATTCTGCTTCACAGATGGGAAACTTTCCACTCTCCCTCCCAGGTCCCTTTTTTTCATTAGTATTATTATTATTATTGTCTTGCAAAGCCACTTGTACCTCCTAGAAATTACAACTTTAATCTGGGACTTCTAGATTCTATTACAATGGAATTTAACATAAAACTCTTTTTTGGTTCAGTGAATTGGGAGAGAAATTCATTTAACACCCTGGGCTTCTGGAAGCCAAATAAGAGAGAACATAAGATATAACGAGACCTAGTTCTTACACAAAAACTTAGAAAGAAATGAGGTAACATCTATCTTGTATCAATAAAGTTTAGTGATTCCAAGCAAGTGCTCTGGTAAATTGAATTTTCTAGGCTTTTCACAAATATGCATATATTTCTGAAAGTTTCGACATCAGCGTACATGAGTTACAGGAAAATCTGCATTTATTTAAATTGTCAGGAAATTAACAAATAAAGCTATTTCACATCTGATTGTTAGACTAAAAACCCATCCGTGAGCTAAGTAAGCAATAATCTTTAATAAAGTTTTCACTTTTAATTTAAATCCAAGCTTTACAAAGGTGAGAAACTGTTTCCTGGAGGTCAAACATTTCTTGATACCCCAACATTCAGGTCTGTTCAGTATTCTAGAAACTGGGGGAAAGAAGTGAATCTACTGCTTTGGATTAATAGGATCTGATTGTGGCTTTTTTGGAGGTCAGTAGCTTTTGAACCTATGGGCGACAGCAGTAACATATACACAAGCTAAATCAAATTCAGCAGCAATTTTATAACCAAATTTAGAAAGGCTTAACACAGCTTGAGTTGCTTAATAGTGGTGAACGTTTACTTCATTCCAGAAGAAAGTGCCTTTGAATGATGAAAGCTGCTCGTAAAAGAGATGTGTCATGGGATGTCAAAAGGAATACTTACAATCTATCCAGCCTTTTTCTTTCTTATCCTGTTGAGAGCTGGTTCCTGAGACAGATCCACAGGAATTCGTGCAGGACTCTTTCAAAATACTTGTATAAAGGATTTGGGCATGAGCTGGGAGGAAACTAGTGAGTCAGTGAATGAAAAAGCAGCTTTTATGTGGTATCTGCCAGCATCAAAGCCAGAAAACTGTAACACCTATGGCCTAAAGACCAAATACAAGTATCCAGCATTGCTCCACTCGGTGTGTCCTCTATATCTGTTGTAGAAGAGAGGTCATCGATATGACATAGGAATGAATGAGTTTTTGTTTGGTTTCCTACAATGTAATCTCTGACAGACAGAAGGCACTGATGTCAAAAGGACTACAGAGTGGTCTGTGAACCTCATTAAGAAATGAAATTCTAGACATGCTTTCATTCCAGATAACACTTCGATACTTCAGTAAATTACAATGATAAAATATTTGGACTTTTTGTCTCAATTTAAAGCAAGCTTTATTTTTAGATTGGAATTATTTCTCTTTGACATTTCACGTGGAAGTCATGATTTCACACATGCTGCATCCTTTATGAATATTATAGCTGTCATCTCTCAAATGTTTTGGAAGACACTTTTGTGAGTTCATAGTAAGCAACAGGACAGGATAGGGTAGAATATTTCAGTTGGAAGGGACCTACAGCAATCACCTAGTCCCACTGCTGGAATGCTTCAGGGCTGACCAAATGTTAAAGCAAATTAGTAACAGCATTGTCCGAATGCCTCTTAAACACTGACAGGCTTGGGGCATTGGCCACCTCTCTAGAAAGCCTGTACCAGGGTTTGACCACCCTCTGTAAAAAAATTCTTCTTAATGTCCAATCTAAACCTCTTCTGGTGCAGCTTTGAATCGTTCCATGTATAGCCTAAAATCTACCAGTTCCTTTGCTATTGACATCAAGTCGGATGCATCTTTTCAAAAGTGCAATTAAGCAACAGGACAGGATAGGGTAGAATATTTCAGTTGGAAGGGACCTACAGCAATCACCTAGTCCCACTGCTGGAATGCTTCAGGGCTGACCAAATGTTAAAGCAAATTAGTAACAGCATTGTCCGAATGCCTCTTAAACACTGACAGGCTTGGGGCATTGGCCACCTCTCTAGAAAGCCTGTACCAGGGTTTGACCACCCTCTGTAAAAAAATTCTTCTTAATGTCCAATCTAAACCTCTTCTGGTGCAGCTTTGAATCGTTCCATGTGTCCTGTCACTGGGTCCCAGGGAGAAGAGCTCAGCACCTCCCTCTCCACATTCCCTCCTCAGGAACCTGTAGAGGCTTCGGCTGTAGGACCCCTCGACCTCCTTTCCTCAAAACTATTGGAAGGGACCTACAGCAATCACCTAGTCCAACTGCTGGAATGCTTCAGGGCTGACCTGAAGCAAATTATTAGCAGCATTGTCCAAATGCTTCTTAAACACTGACAGGCTTGGAGCATTGGCCACCTCTCTAGAAAGCCTGTACCAGGGTTTGACCACCCTCTGTAAAAAAATTCTTCTTAATGTCCAATCTAAACCTCTTCTGGTGCAGCTTTGAATCGTTCCATGTGTCCTGTCACTGGGTCCCAGGGAGAAGAGCTCAGCACCTCCCTCTCCACATTCCCTCCTCAGGAACCTGTAGAGGCTTCGGCTGTAGGACCCCTCGACCTCCTTTCCTCAAAACTAGACAAATCCAGAGTCCTCAGCCGCTCCTCACAGGACATTCCTTCCAGCCCTGTCACCAGCTTTATTGCCCTCCTCTGGACGCATTCAAGGACCTTCACATCCTTCTTGAATTGCAGTGCCCAGAACCGCACACAATACTTGAAACTGGAGACTTGGAGAAAAAAAGGAAGCAGGGGTGGGAGAAACAACAAGATTAAGGTCTGAAACTGCTTCTAATATCACTTCTTTTTTTCTTTTTTTTTTCCCCTCTGGCTTTTTCATGTCACAACTCAACAGCAAATATTTTTAAGTATGTGGAGAAAAAGCTGTTATCTTTGCATGCTCTTTTGATGTCATTCTGCTTTTTTAAAACCAGCATATATCCACATACAGATTCCTCAACTGCCTCTTTCTTTCATCTCCAGAGATAAATCTTTTTCCTCCATTTTCAAAGGTTCCTAAAATGCTCTGATGTACCACACAGGCAAAACTACCCAGCTCTATGCAAGTCACTAGAAATTCATATTGCCTTGGAGAACTTGGGAAAATATTTGCTGATACTAAACACTTCCTTTTTAAAAGATGTTTAAGTAAAATCCTCTGTACTGGTTTGGCTTAGTGGAAACTTATGAAACCTCAAAAGGTTTAAGGAATATAACAGCTCTATCTCTTCACTCGTGACTAATGGCTTTTAAGAAAAGATTGTTTAAATTTATGACTATGGAATACTTTGAGATTATACCAAGAATTCAAAATATAATGAAATTTCTCATTTTGCAGGCAGAATAAATGAATATATTAGCTGATATTGGTATAAGGTTAAGAATGTATTTGTTCCTTTATGGATGTTTGAACACTGTAGCAAACACCAAAGGAAAACTTTATTTTCCTTATACTGTTAGCTTGCTTAGTCCAGCTTATTAAAAATATAAGCATAACAGTCATATCATACAGCATCCTATTTTCTGTTCAGTATGTACTGAAACTACCTTTTAACTCAGTGGATAACTGAATGTGGCTCATGTAGATGCTCATACAGATGTTGCTTATATACAATCCATAGCATTTGATTATGCTACAAGAAAATCATTTATAGCAGAGTATAGCTCTAGCTAAAACAATAAAAAGAAAAAAAAAGCAGATATCTTGCAAAATATCTTGTTTGACATTTTAATGTCTTACTTGCATAGCATGCATAGGTAGTTTGCCTATTATCTTTCTATAGTTCTTGAAGAGACTATCTTATTTAATAGAGAATTGCAACATAAATTAACTATTCCTTGTCTTTCTTTAAATGCACATTTTGTTGTTCCTAGCACCTCGTTTTTAAGGGACTGTAAAGGCATAATATTTACTGCCAAGAAAACATCTTTCAGCTTCCATCTGCAGTTACTCATGAAAGGCACACATCTGGGAAGGTCTGGGAAGGACATGTCTCTTTGCGTTCCTTTCATGGTTACAGAACTTGCTTATGATATAAACATCAAGATCATTTGGAGATAAAATTAGCATAACAAGTGACTAGTATCTGAACCGTATGAAAGCAGTGAAGTGGATCGTGCCCTTAGCACTCTGTGAGAAGGTCAGCAAATGAGATTGCTAAATCACTTTACTTTTTATACTCTTTAGTAACTACTGCAATTAAGTCAATTATACTGGTCCATGTCCTGGAGTGCCTGCCTACTGTAAACAATGCAAACAACAACAAAAAAATCCCCAACCCTCTAAACCTACAAGGTATGCTGAAGATGAAGCAAGCTCCTCAGTGCTCAGAATCTTTGTTGGACAAGGTTTTACATTTTTCAGTGGAGAAGGATTAACAATTGGCTACCAGCATGACATGAATGTCACTATCCTAAAGGGAGCTAATGCAATAGTCACCAGCATTGTGTTTTCAAATGACTCCCATGTTATTGATGTTACAGACTTTTGAAAAACAGGTATTGACCACGCTAAATCTATATATGTATTGCAACGATTGATCATTGGTTCAATTTTAGTCCTAACAGATACCAAGACTCTGTATCAGAGGACAGACTTGAGAAAATAAGGTGATCTTCTCAAGGCTATATTTATCATCAGGGCTGGGACTGAAAACAAAGAGAAAGCAACTAGTATAGGTCTGTTGGCACACTTTGTTGATCTGGTTTTAAGGCAGTAGTTACTGTTTTTCCCATCCATTAATAGCCCCAATTGGTGATGACTTGCTTCCAGTCACATTGGGACATTAACTAAGGTATTAAAGGTAATCTGAATCATACAGAGAGATGGAATAGCTCGTTTCTTTTTATCTCTGTCTACATGCAGGGAACAGGGATAACTGTTCTCCAGATTTGCTTCTGAACATGGGACTGGCTGGGATATTGAGAGACATAACAACAAAAATTCTGACTCCATAACCCATTCTTGCTCATAAATACTTAGTGACTACATACAGGAATTACTTATTTGGCTTTTATAGTTTATTTTTAAACTTCTGTATAATGCAAGAAGTTATTTATTTTTTGGAAAATATTGTCTCTTAGTCTGTATTCTCTCCCACTGTTTGGTCTTTTTTTTACTCCAAATAAGAGAACATCCTTTTGTTTGAAAATGTAAATACTTTCTAAGAATACCATTTCAACAGTTAGGGTACACATTAGGAAGAGTTTTTCTGATCTTAACCACATAAGCTAACAAAAGACAGAGAATTCAGTGTCGTTTGCAAGAATATTATACAAGTCTGACATTGCAAATCTTCATTGGGTTTATATTAATACAGCATCAGGTCTGAAGTTTATCGTAATTACTAACAGGATGGTCTTTCTATCTTTTATTGTTATTATTACATGCTGTATCTCTATATAGTATCTTATCAACAATACATTTTCTTTTATGTGCCAATGTAGCTGCCAACGAAGGAAACACCAGAGTTTGGGAGCGGCACCCTGGTTCCGGGAGCGAGGCAAAGAACACAGAACTAAAAGACCTGGTGAGTTATTGGGGAAAAATGAATTCGGGGGTAAAATTCACCTTGTGTTAACCACAGTCTGTTGAATTAGCCTGTGTGCTTATATACAAGGATAATATAATGCTATTAATTTAATAGCGTTAAAATAATTTATAGTGGTTTGATTTTAAAGCTCAAAGACACTATTTTAGAGAATTTAATTGTCAGTCTTTAGTAAAATAATGCCTTTTCCATTTTTTATAATGATTTTCTTTGCTGGGAAGAGTTACCTATTGCAATTATAAGAAAATCTCCTCTCAATATATCTGCTAACACAAAGTTATTCATATACTGTGACCACAGGAACAATTCAGTATTTTAAGGAGCTCTGTTTAATGGTAGAATTTTGTTGAATGAACTGAAAGTTGGTAACTGAGCCTTTGAAAAACAGAAAGAAGTGACTCACTGTTGAGAGCCAAAAGCTGCAAATAGTATCTTTGAGAAACAAATACATGACTCACTTGTGAAACAGAGAGCAGCTGATTTTCTTGATCAGAGCACTGATTGGCAAAAGAAAGTGGAAATAATACTCTGGAAATGCAACATCTGTAGGGCATATATATGTAAAGTGCATTGACACATCAGTTTGAAAACTGAAGTCTTCGTATCCTGTCTTTCAACTTCTACAGTTGTATCCACTTCAACTATAAAAAGTAGTTCCTCCTACAGCAATGGCATCCTTTGAAATATTTTAAGTTCAAGGATAATCTACTGGAAACAAGGTAATATGGTCAAACACTATTACAAAGGGGACCAACTGAGCTATCACACAATTGGCCACATCTACACCTGCACTGCAATCCTCCTTACGTTGCTCTCTGGGGAGCTAGGGTGCTTCAGTGCTATACACTGTTCAGAACAGTGAATGCTTTTATGTGCGTTATTATACTTTGTTTTATGTAACTATAAACAAGCAAAATGCAAAATGGTCTGCATTGTCTTTAATTTTGTCAAAAACAATAGATATAAACCAATGAAATATACTCCTGAATGGAAAGGAAATAATTTTTAACAGTATTAGTTTTTGTAAAGTTAAATTTTGAAACAAAGAAGTTATTTTTGGCATTGTGAAACTGTTTGAATCCAGTTTGTTCTAGTTATCAGAACCCTTGAAAAGCATCCAGGACACGACCATAACACCTGGTCTTTTCACTACTTTTTTACAAACATGAAGATCAAAGTAAATAAATGGGGCTATTCAGGAAGAGAAACTGCAAGTCTAAACTCTTGATTGCAGAGAGCCATTGCAATGAAGGTGAGGGTCCCAGTGAAGTATCCATGGATGCGAGCCCCTAGAAAGTAAATAGAATTACCAGGTCTCCAATAATCTACAAATCTGCAATCTACAAAACAATCTCTAGTTATTGGAGAATGAAAACTCCGCAGTCTTTTACCTATTTAATGCCAATCTCACTTTTAAAATAGATGAGATTCTTGTTAATGTTCATAAACAGATTCTTTGGAATTGCTGTTAACATGTAACCTCTGTCTTTGAAAACTGAGGAGTAATTTAAACAATTTACAATTGTCGTGAAATGCTGATCTTGTTAATTTGATGAACTACCTATATAAGAGAAGAACAACCACTGACCCACTAATTAGCACAATATTTCACATTAGTGTATTTGCTGTTTCCTGAAGATTCAGCTCCATAAAAATGCATACAAATAGGATTACAAGTGGGATTTCCTATCTGTTTTTTGACAATAATTATGTCTTGCTCCAAACGTTTATGCTTCTGATTCATTTAGAGTCAGTCCACATCAGGTCAACTCAGTTTTGATTTCATTAGGGATGAGCATACGTCAAACATTGTTGCCTGTGCTGAGACTCAGAATTTCAAAGATCCACAAAATCTAAACTACAGTGACCTGAAGTAACACTGATGCTTGTCACCTCCAATGAAGATCAGCAAAGGCATCGTTTTGGCAGAGTTTATAAGGAAAGCAAAAACTGTTGTTATGACTAGGCAGGCCTAGCGGCATCCTGTTGTGGGTTGGACACAGACTTCCCTTAGATTGAGCATGTTTAGTGAGTTGGCTTCTAAATTTCCTCTTGATCATGAATGGCTGAACCTTGACTTAATCTTGACTTATTGCTGTTTCATGCTGCACATTCACTGTCTCTCTCAGCCATTCCAGGGTCAGTCTGTGCAAAAATTCACGGAGTATATAGAATGTGCACTGCAAAGCCACAGGTAAGGTCTTTCACTGCATATCTTTAAATTAAGACAGTGATGATCAGTGTTTAAACTTTTATGGATGCTCCTCCTCAGATGGAATTTCATGTATCTCTCAAATTGTTGTCCCCCTCTCACTCTCCAGAGACCCCTCCAGGTTTCCTGACCTGAGGTACCTCTCCCACACGACAATGGTCACCATCATTTTCTTCTTTTCTAAAGATCTCCCTCCACCATCTTTCTCTCCTCAGTGTGTCATTCTATACCCATATTACTTTGTTCATGAAGTCTCTTTTGGGATGTAGTTAAGTACCTTCTAAAAGTAGTACCTTCTAAAATGGCTTTTAAAAAAAATTAAAAAATCTGCCCAAAGCAACAATAAAAAGGCCCCAGCAGCCCCCTCTCAAGTTACTTTTTAACCCAGCATCACCTTGGCAACAGGTGAGGCTCACAGCCTATTACTTTGATTCATTCAGGTCACACCAGCATTACTTCATAGAAATCTCTTTTGACAGTTTTGTATATGCATATATTAATTTTTCAGATAACTCCTAGTCAGTCAGGCCTCTGTGTGTGTGTGTGTGTGTAATTGCTTCCTCTAACCAGAATAGTGCTGTAAGGTTTCAAGCACTTTTATGCCAAAATTAAGTAAGCATCTAATCTAAACATAAAATAATAGTAACAAACTAATCTAAAATGTCTTCTCAGAGGCCCATTTCCATACACCACAACAAATGGTGCAGACCTCTACTGCCTCAGCAACTTTTTACCCTTTTTTCCTGTATTTGGATGCAAAACTGAAGACAAGAGAGTTTCCAGTCTGTTTTCTGTTCCCTGTAATATTTCTGGTTAAGAATTAGGATGGAAAGCCTTTACCTTCCTACATGGAAAATAATAATTTGCTCCCTGTAAACGCTAGATAAATGCCAATATAACATAAGCACTTTAAAGTTATTGATCGAGTTTTCCCATTTTTTTGATAGGGCATGAAATAGAAAGATATGCCTTAAAATTACCATTTGTAACTTTGTTCTCTTTTCTACTGCTGGGCAACCAATTCCCAGACAGCTGTTATTCCCCCATTTATTCTCTACATCTTTACAACCCTTTCACTGCAGATTGCTTGCTCTCTATAACAGAAGGTCACGCAGTGTCTGAGACCCAGAGAAGAAAATGTTACTCACAGAAAGTTCCTCTGATATCGCATGTGGAAATTGTACAGATGATGATTTTAGTGTAGGTGGGGTAAAGCCAGCCTATGTTGTTTAAAAAAATATAATTAAAAATGGTTTGCAGAAGTATGTAGAGATATGAATCTCAGAGAAAGCTATTGACTCTTCCAGAGAACTGCTTCATTTGCCCACAGTTCTTCTACTCACAATACTGCCTCCAAATCTGAGGAGTTAAACACAAGTTTATCACCAGAAATAGCAAAAAGCAAGAGAAATTAAGTTTCAAGCTCATACAGCAAGAGAAAAACAGCCCTGCTTTTTCAACAAGATGAAGAAGGAGATAAAAAGGTGAGGATCTTTCTTCTATATCAAAAGTTAGAAAAAATGGCTTTTCATAAAGAGGAAATGAAAAATAAGGCATTCTAAACAGATACAAATAAAGCCGGGATATAAGTTATGAAGTAACTAAAGGAAAACAAATGTGATCAAGGTTAGTAAAGACAAGTAACGAGATTTGAGGTACAGCAGAGAGATTAAAAAATGCTAGCTGTGTACACAATATTGCCTCTGTTCATAGTAATGCGCAATGATTTATTTGTCTCTTTAAAACAGGCAAGGAACAAAAAAACATAACTTGAAACAAAAGCTATTTTAACAACTGGGTTCCCTGGCAGGAAGCACAGAGGCAGAGCACTCCAAGCCTTTTAAAGTGCTGCTTACCATGGTTATCCTGTGATTTAAATTTAGTTCATGTTTAAAAAAGGGTAAAAAAGCCAACCAAGTCCTAAGTTTATGTTAAATAGATAATATAATGGGAAAAAACCCCCTCCAAATTGCTCAGAGTGATTGCTATAGCCAAAGCTTTTGTGATAGTACCTTACCTTTAAATATGTGAATTTTCTTTGGAGCAGCATTTTAATGGTACATTTCATGTAATGGTATGTTTAATGGTACGTTTTGTGAGACAGAATGCTTTACGGAAAATTAAGGAGAGGTGATCAGTGACGGATATGATAGTCATTTAGTTACTCTGCACAAAAAAACTCCTACCAAAAACAGAAGCCAAGAAAAACTCTAACCAATTTCTGATTTATTTGGACAAAGCCAGAATTCAAGTTCCTAACCCTTACCTTTAATACAGGCTAATTTTGTGTCTTAACCTGAGCCTTCTAAGGACATCAGAAGAGATATTGCTTACGTATTTTGTTATCTACACTATTTATTTAATAAAAATCAATGATAAATTGAAATATCTATGGATGCACTTTTGCTCCCTTGTATTTTAAATGTTTTCAAAATGTTGATTCTATAGCACAATTTTATATGTAGAATTCTGTGTTGATTTTCTTTATGACTTAGTCAACTTCAACGGGAGGGGTCTATTTATGTTAGCTTCACTGTGCCAATTAAGTTGTACATTCTGATATTGGGGGGCCAGTGCTCACTTGCTTCTCTCCACCAGTAAGATCTCCCATCTTTGGTTTCCAAAGAAAGTGGTTTGGATTCCAATGGCCCTGCAAAACCATCCCCTGAAAAAGGGCTAAAGAAATCCTTGCTAAAGGAGGGTTTTCTTGCTTGATTATTTAAACCAAATGGTTTTCTTTAATTCCCAACTTCCCTGTTTGTTTAGAACATGTAAGACACAGTCTGCAGGGAAAATAACTGGGGAGAGCTCAAGCAGTGAAGGAGTTTCATCCATACAACGTGCTGCGCTCTGATAGCATCACTGCATCACAGAACGCATATTTGAGTAAGGTTTTCATTTCCTAGGCTTGTATAAACATTCCTGTTCCAGCCTAAAGAGGAATGGCTGGGAGTTTTGCCAACCCACGTCTGAACGCAGCGTGAAGACTCTCCCCCATCAGTGGCAGCAGTTGCAGGAGATATGATAGCTCCTTCTCAGATGACTTAACCCACTTTTTTTAACAGAAGAAAAGAACCAGAACGCATTGCTTTTTTGTTTTGATTTTAAACTGTGGGACTAGGGCAAGCAGGCAGTTCCAGCCTCTTCAGAGACCACAAGGCCTGTACATATTTCAGTAAGTTTGGTGAGTAGAAACTCTGTCGTGCTATACAATTATTTTATGCACAGTGGGTTTCAGTTTGTTTTCTGGCAAACACAGCAACAAGATGTACTTCGAGATGTAAGTAAACGAATGTGCTTATGAAACTTTAACAATTAACTTGTGGACGTTGGAGTAAGTGCAGCAGACATATGCCTATGTCAGCTAAGATTTAGTTGACATCTTTTTTTAAACATATTTGTAGACCAGGCATTTTCTCCTCCTGCTGTCATCGTTGTAAGTTAGATTAGATCTTTAGAAGGCATTTGAAACACTTTGGTTAAAAAAACAAAAACAGAAGGACACCTCTGGAGTGACTCTAAGTGGACAAAGTAACCCAAGATGAAGGAAAAACTGACCAAATTTGTTGTTGACAGAGCATTTGGGCCACCAGCTACAAGGTTCAGTAACAACCTGGATCCCTCACAGAAGCTAATTCTCATTTTCAAATAAGGAAGCCTAGCATTTGTTTCTACATGCTGATGTTTAGTAAGTAGGAATGCATTTCTACTTTCATTTCCATTTTATTTCTCATTAATAACCTCTTTTTATCAAATGCATCTTTGTTTCTGCACTGAGTTCCAGGCATCCCAATTATTTTGTCTCTGGCTGTTAGACCTGGCTAGCTATGAGAATCTGAGTTTAAAAGAGCAATTTCAGGGCTCACAGGCTGACCCTGAAAAAAAAATCAAAATAAAGATAAGGATCAGAAATATATTCAGCAACTAGTAGTTTATAGTTTTCCAAAGGCAGCTTCCTCTGAGAGCAACCAAGAAATATATATCCCTCAGGTAATAAAGCAAACCCTTAATTACATTAAAAGCGGCACTAAACATAATTGAAGATGCACAGCAAAGTATGAGTTTTTCACACTTTGCATTTCTAATAAATCTGGAGTTAGACTATCATTTCTCTTACAGGTAAAACCAGTGATTATTATTTTAATTACACCACTGCTACTGAAATATTTTGAGGCTGGAATTGCATACACATATGCAGTCACAGAGACAGGTTAAACTATTTGTTAAACGATTGGTGCGACCATGGCAACTGCATACATGGCAGCACTGCTCCCCTTTCTGAGGCTGACATGGAGACACCGAAACCAAGAGATGACATTAAGAATGTTGAGAACATAAAAAGATGAACCAAGCACAATCCAACAGCTCATTGTCACCAGACGAGGAGAAGGATGGAGGAGACCTCACCATTGCCTGCTCTCGGGCAGGAGCTGGGACACTTGTTGGTACCACATTGTCTACTGTAGCAAATAGTAGATAATTATCCTTGCCAAGAAACAAAACAAGGTGGTGGAGGAGAACAAGGGATGGCAGCATTAGCAATTCGAATCCACCAGAGGAGAGTTCTGACCACTACCAGAGGTAGCTGGTGTTGGTGTGCAGCCTGGCCAAAAGCCAGTACACTGCAGGTTCTTTTTCTTAGGAGAGGGTTTTTTTCCTAGTTTTTTTTTTGTTTGTTTTAAATCATAATCTTTACAAAAAGTCAAACTCAAAAAATTCCAACAGGTGTTTCAGTAAATATCTGAGTGTGACACACAAGCTTCAGCAAGGTCGAGGAGAAACACACACGGGAAAAGTCTACAAGCTCCCTATCTTATTAAAAATATCTCATGAAATTGCTACAAAATAAATTTCTTAACAAATTCAGAGTCTCAGACTTTCTTATATAAAACTGCAACATGAAAGTCAAGGTACCCCAAGTAAGAATACGCACAACACTAAAAGGCAGATTGTCACAAAAAAATAAAGAGAATTACACTTTGCAAAGGATTCCTGTCTGGGTAATATGAGTAGAGTCTCTCCCAGATGGACTGGTTCCTTTTCTGATTGGAGAGAGGGCTTTGGAAAGCACTATTTAGAACATCCATGGGTAAATGCAGGTAGCATGGCAAATATCATACAGAGATTCATGAAAAAAGAGTGAAAAAACGCATCTTAGTGAAATAACATGACATTTCACAAGACATTTTAGTGAGTGCCATCATTAACATGTGGCACCTCAGTAAGACACAACCCTCTGGAGACTCTCACCAACCAGTAATGCCAAGTGTTTGACATTAGATCTGCAATGAAAACACTTTCCATCCCTTTTTGATCTGCTTCTTGAGCCCGATGTTACCTATTAGGAGACAGACAGCTCAGCTGATGGATTTCTACTGGAAAAAATAAGAAATCCTTATGCATTAGAAGAAACACAGTGTATCATAATCATAGTTTAATTTCAACAATGAGGAATTTAATTACTCAGAGGAAAATGAGAAATAGAAATCCAAAGTATGATTTTAAAAAAGTATTTCTAATAATTCGTATGTTTAGCAGTCTCAAAGCAATGCAGGCAGTTCACAGGAATAGGGTATTATCCAAAAGTATAAGATCAGAGAGGAAAACTGTCATTGGTGCTTGCACAACAAAACAAGAGCACTTGTGTTTTCAGCATCCAGATGTGAGCACTTCCACTGATAGATCTAATTCCCTCTGCTTCAGAATAACCACGGAAGAGCCTCTTTCACTGGGGCTGATGAGAAATGCTTACTGAAGAGCGGAACTGCTTTAGAGACACCATTGACTATAGATACCAAACTCATTAATTTAATAAAACATGCAGTGATTCTGTGGCTAGGTGGAAAATTTGCATGTTCATTCCATGCCACTGATTTACAAAGAGAAGCAATAATTAATGTGTGTGTGTATATAATTTGCGTATGTATATTTGCAAGTAAATTCTTCTCTCATTGATTTTGCTTCATTTTACCAGAAAAATATCCTGGGATGTATAATCAAAACAACAAAATATAGCGTATATATACATAACACCATATATATAGAGAGTGTAATATTTTGGGTAAGGCCTCTGTGCTTCAGTAATAATGACAGAGGTTATTTAAGGTGGGAATACAGTTGGAAGTCTGCACTGAAGACAGGAGAACAGACTTTCAAGTGTCAAATAAGGATCCTTTTTCTTGCTCGGCAAAGAATGCATCTGATGTTAAGGTTCATTTAAAAGTCTAAAACCTGAAGCAACGAAACGTATGATACCAGATAACATAAATCAAAGTGTCTGTACGTGATGCGGCCTATTTAGAGATAAGAAGAAGAAATGTGTCAGGCAATAGACTGTGCATGAGACGGTTTCGTGGTTTTTACAAGCACCTACATAGCAGTCACACCGTGTGAAAATTCACTCAGAGAGTCTAACCAGACACAAATATTGTTTGCTCCAGCCATGCACGCTTTTCAAAGAAATATTACGGAGCGATCATTGTAAACAAGATGCCTTTGGAGATGTTGAGAGGGTGCTAAAGTGAATTTCCTGTTGGATCAGATACCGTGGCGAAATACACACTGTTAATAGAATGAGACTGGCATCA